TTTCTGGGAAAGATGTCCACTTCAATATTTTGTGTTAAGTTTATACGTGTCCTACAAAGAGACATGGAACGGTGAAAAGTTGCTTATAAGTTGGATAAAATTACGTTATATGGTGTTACCGGGAACCCTTGTAGAGAAAATAATATAAATTATATATAAAACAATAATATAGCTCCTGATATATTCACTGAGCAACTAGTGAAGTTAATGTTGTTGTTTTTCTATTTCAGATATCATCATTCTCGACTGGTGTTCTGCCCCTTTGTATTCCATTTGCCTGTTTACTGAATTGTGTAAATCCTCTTTCGAATGATTTCCCTTCCCAAAAGTAAAACAATTATTGTCTCAAGCATAATTATAAATGGAAGAAAAGTTCTTACTGCAATTAATAATAACCGTCATCTGTATACTTTTACATGTTGGCTACCCTTCTTTCCCCTTACCTCTCTGGTGGTTTAAGTGGTTAGAGCGTCCACCTCGGATGCAGGAGGTCGCGGTTTCGAACCCCATCTGAGTCATACCAAGGACTTACAAAAATGGTACTAGAAGAAGCCTGACGCTCAGAATTAATAGGTTATTGTTAGGACTGGTCGGCCCGTTGTCAAGATTAGTGACTGGATGGGACATGATACTACATGTCTATGACATGATGTCCCAGTACTTGACATCACTATAAACTGCCACACTGCATACATCCTAGCGATATGATTGAAAAATTGTCCAAGCTACGATAAAAATTCAAATCTCATAGGCACACTCTTTGCCTTTTCTAGTTTGATGTTGCGCTTTTCACGGCAGTGGTTAATTAAACTCAGGCCGAGCACTGTGGCTGTCAATTAACCATACCAGATTTTCCAACGTCCCTCTGATTAATCTTAAATGTGAATACCGAGTTCCATTGGAATCCATGTGTTTGAGTTGGAGAAAGGGCCTGAGAAAAACCAAGTTAGTCACCTATGAGGAATTTACGAAACAAAGAAACAAACATAAACTATCAAAACGGTACAGTTATCTGCCGTCAGTTTTCAGGTAACAAGTCATCTCTCAGTCATTATTATTTACTGGGAGAAAAATGCCTTACTGCTGTGCATCCTTCAAATTTCCTCAACCACCTACATTGTTTCCTCAACCAAAAACTAACTAACTAACTCTCTCTCTCTCTCTCTCTCTCTCTCTCTCTCTCTCTCTCTCTCTCTCTCTCTCTCTCTCTCTCTCTCTCTCTCTCTCTCTCTCTCTCGTTTTCCGATAGTTTGATGTTTAAACGAATGTATTTGATTTTTAACATTTCTATTTACTTTTGTGAGTGAAATATTAAAATCGAGTTTTTATTTCTTTTCTAGATATTCTTCTGGGTACCATTTCTTGACTTTGGTCTCAACAAAACAAGACTTCAGAAGCTGCGTGAAGCAATGCCGCAGGGAATTTTGTGCACATAAAGATAGCTGAAAAGTTAAATTTATACGAAACTAAAATCTGTCCAAATACGGTTACGTACATATTTTCTGACGGTAACATTTATTTTTAAACAGATACAAAAGTGCCAGATACAAAGTTTGCCAAGGACGACTACCGCCATCAAAGAGGCCATATTTAAGTAGAACATGAATTAGGTCTCAGATCAGATACAATTGTTTAAAAATATATTCTTATTTTAGCAAAAATAATAAGTTTCGTAAATCATGCAAAACTCGGTAGGCATGTGAATTAAATGAACATGAAGCGTCATGTATATTGCAAGTCAAAATAGTTTAATGCTAGAGAAATCAAGAAGAGAGACTTTTCTGTATTATTATATGAGTTCTGCTCAGAGGGACCCTATCAGAGGACATAAAGATTTATTCTAAAAATAACATGAAACATAAATAGCTTTTCTTCGAATCGTTATCTACCCAACTTGCGAATTGTGTATTAAATTATGTCTTGGAAAAATAAAGTCTTATGTCATAGACTACAACGAGTTGTTATGCTGAAAAAAAAAGTTATAATGGATTAATGATACCCATTTACGTTCCGCAAGTATCTAATATTACAGCAAATCATTAAATTGTATACATGAAACTGATTAAACAATTAACGGACCGATGAACTGACAAATAGCAAATAAAATTCATACTCATTTTCCCGTTCAGAAAGAATAGTACTGAAGAATGAAATGATTAACTGTACACCCATTTGTGTAGGTGGAGGGGGATTCCCCACTTTAATACGTTTCAAAATTTATTTTTGTTGTTGTTGTTCTGGGGCTTAACGTCATTTTTCAGCACACGATAGGATATATATGGCGGCCAGTATTAATGGTGGAGGAAGAAACCTGGAAATCCGCGGAAAGAACCACCGACCCACTTATTTTTGAGTAACGTTCAATAATTTAAAGGTTATAGTAAGTGATAAAAGTAACAAGTTATCATTAGTTGATTTTACGTCGCACATGTCACTTCTTCATACAGGGTCCCAAGGTTGGTGGTTCTTACCTGGGGTTTTCCATGTTTTTCCTCCACCAGTTTATTTTGGTCGCCATGTATAGCCTTTCAGGCATTATATCGTTAAGCCCTCAACAACAAGAGCTTCATTTATACTTGTACCAAATAGCAAAGATTGCTTCCTGCTTGTACTAGATAACAATGATTTCTTCATGCTTGTACTAAATAATAATGACTCCGGTTTTGACAGAAAAGGACATTATTTATTGACCAGATTTTAAAAAATAACATCCTTGTCACATATTGTAAAATTTAGTATCACTGAATTAGAATGAAGCTAAATTTGTTTCTATATATCAATTGCATTGAGGCTTTATAAAAATGCGTTTCTGTAACGATCATTACCGACTTTATCCTGTTTTCTTGTCATTGTGGTCTTTCTCAGGCTGGATAATAAACACAACGTCATTATATTTCAAAACAAAGATTGTTTCCTGACTCAAAATTTTTATTCTACATAACTAATTTACAAAGTTTGGACCTTGAGAGTAACCATATCAACATATTCGCTTAAATACTTCTTTTATTACTTTTTCTTAATATAGAATTGTGTTACATAAGATCCTGTATGTGGCCGTCTTGAAAATCTTAATTTCGCTTCTTTTAAAACGGAAAATCGTTTTGACATGTGGTTTTCACCAGAAGAGTTATGACGGCGATGAATGACATTTTTGAGTTGAATGACATTTTTGTCAGTTAAACCACAGGAGTCTGCAGTTTTATCAACAAAACACGACGAAATTTCTGACTACATGAACTCACCTTAACGGTTTATTTTATAATACCATTAAGTTGATTTCATGTAGTCAGAAATTTCGTCGTGCTTCATTGATAAAACTGCAGACTCCTGTGGTTAAACATAGAACATTACTCGAACTAGGATAGCACGCATCAGCGATGTAATTCATATTGTATGAACAAGAGTACATACCTGTGATACAAGTAAACATACCTGGATTAATTAATGCAAATTATGAAGTTACTGGGATATCTGATTCTGACTTTACATGAAATAACTAACATCCTTCTGTTTTTCCTGAACGAGATATTCCCATATATATATATATATATATATATATAAATATATAGATATATATATATATATATATATATATATATATATATATATATATATATATATATAGTTATACTTAGTCTTAGTTAAGTCCTCAGTAATGATGGAGTCTGTGGGAATGAAACTCAGACAGGGTCCAGAAGCCAAAGCAATGTAAGCGCTACCAGGGTATATGTTTAACCATCTAAAGAGTTTTAAAGAAATATTAATTTAGGAAACCAAAGAGTTGTTTCGCACTCTTTTGGGGAGAAGGGATGCACGCCGATTGGTCTATTCCCCTTCTGAAAATATGTAATTTACAATCAAGAAGGTTTTTAGCATGGATAAATATCTGAAATTGTTTTATTAAGGAAACCACAATTTGGTATCCCAAATTGTTATGTAAAAATTAAAGGTTCTTTGTATTAGCATTCTAGGCTTGCAAAAAACTGTCAGAACTGGGGGTTTTTTTTTGCGCCTCGAAGGTTACATTGTGCCCTTGATGGGGATGTAACGAGAATGAAGAATTAACCGGCATAGGCTGGCCATTTTCTTGTAGCAGTTGCCGTGATTCAAGTCAGGCCATATGGAGACCAATATAAAAAATCTACTGATTTGTATACTTGTGTACACCGCGTCTCTGCAACATTTGCAGATTGCACGGCGGGTGTTTTGGAGTCCAACTAGAATGGTCATATCATCAATTTGCCTTTTTTTTGATGTACATCGAAGATACACATGTGGATTTGTGTTCTTGATTGGATTAACAATGAATAAATTTGAATTACTATAGACAGTAGGTACAGATGCCTAGCTTTTACCTCATATACAATCCACACTTTGGTAAGAGTTCACCCTGCACCATCGCCTCTGCCCTCTGGCGATTTACTATGCAATTTAGGATACTATACCGGAATGCGCGGTAAGACTCTAACAAAAATAGTTCTAAGCATTTGGCATCTTTAGCTAATTTCTTGCAATGATTTGGTAAAGTCAGTCTAATAGTTTTATAGTATTTTGATTGTAATTGTATTAAGTAAAAATCTTCGTAAAAATGCTGTTAGGTGTTTATAAAATCATTAAATTACCCATGCTCATCAGAGCACATTTGTTGTCATTTCATCAGCTTTGGATGAGTGTAGCTTTTGAAATTTGTCAAACTCTCTAATTTTCGAGATCAGTAAATCTTGCATGCAGTCTGAAATCCCACAATGCCTTAACAGTTATTATTGGGATTTGGATTTTTAGCGTAGCTTAAACAATTTTTCCATCATATCGCTACGATGTCTGCATTGTGGCAGTTTATAGTAATGTCTAGCACTGGGGCATCATACCGCAGACATGTAGCATGATGTCCCACCCAGTTACATTATTCTGAAACTAAGCTGACAAGTCCTAACACTCACCTCTTAATGCTGAGCGCCAAGCGAGGCTGCTGAAAGTACCATTTTTGTAAGTCTTTGGTATGTCTTGGTCCGGGATCGAACCCACGACCTCCCGCATATGAGGAGGACGCTCTAACCACTAGGCCACCAGAGCAGTCATAATGTCTTAACAGAAGTGATTGGTTGGAAAACACCCAAACTTAGGAAATTTGGAGAAGAGCTATGCAAATGTCAACATTCATATGCTGATACGACTGAATGGAAACAAATATCGTCCATTTGATATCCACAACTTGCCATGCAATTAAAGTCATTAACTTTGAATGCCTAGACAATTTATGAGTCAGCTTAAGTTTTAATGTAATCCTTGGACATACTGCTGAATAATGTTTCCAGAAAACGTGAGACCTTGTTAATATTCTTTCCATTCATGGGCCCGGGGTACAAAGGGGCAAGGGGTTTTACCTCTAAACATTTTCTGGCCTACATCCATAAAACGTAGTAGGGCCTACATTCATAAAACTTAATAGCTGACCACTATATGTTTGTCCCCCAACCCCAAAAATTATGTGGGCGCCCCTGTTACCTTTGTACTAAAACAGATAATAAACAAACATTTTAAAAGTGTTGCCATGTACTTAAAAAGTTAGCTGCAATCACTTTAAAAAGAATTAGTACACGCATTATTCGTTAAATTTAACAGAACTGACGTGATTCGGTGCCACTAAAGGTTAACATGTCAGTGTAGCAAATTTACACCTTTTGTCTTTAAATCAATATATGTGCAAGCGAGCTTTGCTGTCTGTAACAACTCCATTTCCAGTTCTTAAAGGTATTGGTTAAAATCTCATGATGAAAAGAGAACCGTTATGGAATGAGTATATGAGGTTTTGTAGCGTGGCAAGAAATTACATGTATTCTTGGTGTATATCTTGGAATATATATATATATATATATATATATATATATATATATATATATATATATATATATATATATATATATATATATATATGGGTCCTCAATGATCATGTTTTGGGCTTCGATTTCAAAGTTTATATCTTATGTATATTTAATTTGTATTGTGACCTTTATGCATAATTGAGGGTTGGAGTTTGAGCCTACCTCACTAATGTCTTTTTCTGCAAACAGCATATTACATAATTAATTTTTGTGTATGATTATAGCTTATCATTATTATTATTATTATTATTATTATTATTATTATTATTATTATTATTATTATTATTATTATTATTATTATTATTATTATTATTATTATTAAAACTTGTTTACTTGGATTCAAGTTCTGGTAATTGGTTTACTCCTCGGGAATTCCTAGCGTACCTGTTGTTTGTCAGGTTCTTTACTTAAATGTTTAGTAATAGACTGATATTGTTGACATCTTAGAATGTTCTAGAAATGATTGTTTGACTCTCATCCTGTTTCTCATATTGTGACTTATACAAATGAGAATAAAACAGAAATTAGTTTATCTCTGTTTTAACATCCAAAGCAGAATCAGTCTTTTAGTTGTGTTCATTTGTAATTTTGAGAGGATATATTTATTAAAATTATTCATTGGAATTTCGAACTGCTTCCTTTAACTTTATGACTAGATCACTATTTGGAATTATTGTTAAGTCGTTTAGAGTAATTTTAGATTATATCATTATGATACATAAAGACTGTTAGCACACCAACACAATTTCATGGCTATTAGTACACCAACAGATTCAAAATTCATTCGGAATACCAATGTAATTCTTAAGTAATACTTTATACTTTTTTAACTTGTGATAGAACTTTTTGAACTGTTTGGGATTTAATTTATAATAATGTAAATAATGTTTTAAAAAAAAATTTACATTTTATTATAAGGGAATAAAAATACCACAAAAATTTTGATTGTGCAAATCAACATTGGTCGAATGGCGCGTGATCTTTTATGACCAACAAATCGAAGGCCTATGCCCGAGGATATTTGACGACACGTGCCTGGCAAATGAAGAGTTAACCGCCTGTTTCAAAGCCATTCCTGATGCAGTTCCGACAACTCCTAACGCTGCAGCTTTTGCAACTGCTTGAGTTGTTGTTGCCGACACTGCTGAAATGGTTGAGATTAAGAAAAATATTCCACCGGTTGTTATTATATACCAGGCCGATCTCTAATTTATAGTGTATCGTTAATATTTCACTCTAGAGATCCATCACGTGCCCGTCTTGATCCACCAGGTAATAACTAATCTTGGTCGGCCAGTTATGATGGCATGGAAGATACACAAGTAACTGCAGTCGTAGCCACGATCAAGTCACATGATACCAGGGTAAGTCAAAACACAACACAAGCTCAACTGCCCCAGTTTTATCTAACCTCCATTCGTTACTGCCACTGACGGTGTCACAGGTTAAATTAACTTGCGTCGTTGAGGTCATTCTGCGGTTTTTTGTTGTTGCTTTTTGTTGCTCACACGAACTGATCCCACCAGTATTTCCAATCGATTCGCAAGTTCGTGAGGATCACACAGTCCACAGGGTGCAGGTACCCCAAGGACCACTACTTCCTTTGATCCTTTGTGGGTGTGCGTCTTGGTAACGGTTACTCTGCCAGTCTATGTATCGTTTCGTCTAACCATTCTTCCAACTGATGAAATTCAAGCTCTGATTGTTCTTGATTTTCTGGTGATTTTGCAAGTTTATTCCGTTTAGTTGAGGTGGGGCTGCTTGATCCGATCATTCATATGTCACAAAATTACCAGAGGTTGTTTCTTCTCTATGCAGAGTTTCATAAAATGATTCATCTCGTACATTGCTTCACGAGTTGTTTTTCAACTTTAGCCAAATTAAGTATGCTATTATAAATACTCACACGGTTCAGCAGAGGCGAGTTAAAACCCAGTAAATTCCCTAAATACCCACCGGGTCCATATCTTTTTATGTTTTGCGAAGGTATTTATTATCACTATATCCCATATCACTATATGGGGGTTTATTATCACTATATCCTTAAATTAGGGGTGACGTGATGGAAATATGGGTGGTGTGATGGAAATCAACTTGCAAGGACGGGATCTTCCAAAATACACTGGTGCCCTTATACATCACTGGTGTTTCCAGCTTTGACTGATAAATGGGTGGTGGTGGCTCTTTAGGTTCTCCAGTCTTCTTTTTCTTTGTCTTCACATGCTATCTCTGGCAAACGTGTCAAAACCACTGCAATTACTTGTGTCGCATTTCTTTTATAGAATTGGTACACTTAGCTATCTTACGAACTGGATCCGGTGCTTCTTCTGTTCCCTTAAGCGATGACACTTGTTCCGTAGCCATTTTAATCTCATTGGCATTCAGATGGTAATACCGTCATCGTATGGCTTCGACGGTTTTACAATAATTTCATTAATTTCTTGTACTGCAAAATTTTAGTGCCAGAAAAAAAAGATTTTATTTAATAATTTGGCAAAATCTGTTGTTTGCTCGAAGAAAATAACGTGAAATCATTTCATGTGTGTCAGTAGTCAATCCATACACTCAGATCTTCAAAGCATATAACTGTAAAACTAATGACAACTGTACAGTAAAGCCATTAAGTCTTCTTGTGTTTGTATTCAGTACATCATAGATAAAAATATATTTTAATTCATGGTAGGCATAAACTCACTTGAGGTGGGTGGTGGGTAGCAAAAGTCTGTAAACTATATTTGAATTCAAAATTCAATGTTTTTTTTGTTGTGTTGTGTGTGTGTGTGTTTTTTTTTTTTTTTTTTTGTTTTTTTTTTTTTGACCCTGCTCTAAAGTGTACTCGGAACGATACTACACTTCCATTATTGTCGTGTACACATCCTTTTATTCTTCCCTGAGATGTTTTTTTATCTGTCCACTTTATATTAAAAGAAATATTAAATGTTACATAAAACGAGTTAATATACAAATTATTCTCATTCGTAAATTATTAACATAGAGTGAAAATGTTAATGAAAGATTGTTGTCCTTTTCACAGACGGTTCCTTTTGATAAACGGACCGATTTCGCAAAAATGACACATTTTTTCTCAAAAAAACAATTTATGTAAAGAGATATATTAAATGCTATGTACTGCTATGTAAAATGAGTTACAACACAAAATATTTTCATTTGTGAAATACAAATAATTATTGATACTGTTAGTGAAAACGGGACTCCTTGACAATGATGTTAAGTCATTTTCGCGGAAGACCCAGTTTGCTAAAATGACTAATTTTGAACACTTTATATTAAAAATAGATGTGTCAAATGCTATGGATAATGGGTTATTACAACACGATTGAATTTCATTTGTGATATAAAAGTATTGATTGAAACTGTTAGGCACTGGGAGTGCCTTTTCGCAGAAAGTAAGTACTTTTAACGAAATGGAATTTTTGTCGCATTTTATACACACCCGGGAGGTAGCTGTCTTCTTAAATAGAGAGTCATGGACAGAAAAGATAAGTACAAGCATTATGTAGAAAATGTGGAAGAAATTAGGAGTAAACGACGAGAAGAAGATATTGGTAAGAGCCAATAAAGTATTATAAAAGCATATAATGAAGTGATTTTAATTCTTTAATAATTTTGTAAAGGCTTGAGCTAAAACATTGTCACGTAATTTCGAGGATGTTATTGTCTGTGTTGACAATGACATAAATAAGAAATGTTGGAATAATTTCCCGCTTTATCCTTTTATGGACGTAAGAAATATGAAGATGATCCTGTAATATCTCATAGCTTCCGTTTGCATAAATATCTACATCTTTCATCAAGCATAAACCTGTTAAAAATGTTGCAAATTGCTGACCAGCATATATACAACCACGATTGTTTTAAACTTTCATTTCTTTTCCTCCATTTTTTTCAAAGCACATACTCTGACATTTTAATTTCTGATATAAGTATTGTTTTAACCCTCAGATGACTTAAAGTAGAATGAACTGTATGATATTTCATTTGTCTTTTGAAAATGTCTTTTTTATATGTTTAGTTCTCCGAAAAGAGAAAAGAGACAAGCTGATCAGTGCTAAGAGATTCCGATTTGGCAAAGATGAACCAGTGGATGAAGATATTACAACAGAGGAGGTATCTTTATCATTAAACCAAGCTGTGCATAGTGGTCTTGTCATACCTTGATTTTAAGATTAT